AAACAGGTTCAGATGTAGCATCAGAGGACAGTGATGATTCACACACCAGGTCCAGAAAGAAAAAGAATAAGAGTTCAAGTTCAAAGAAAAAAGATGCTAGGAAGATGGTTTTCGAGTCTGCAGATGAATATTGCAAGGATGAAATGTCATATGGGCAAGATGGAGACCAAGGGAACTGGAATGTTTTCCAAAGTTTCCTGCTAAGAGCTGATGAGAAGACAGGAGATAATGACGCTGACCTATTCACCAGTGAGAAAAAAGCACCCCCAGCAAGGATGAAGGAGAGCAGAAGTGTTGATGATTCTATTATCTTGGCAGAGCGAAATTCTGCTGGGGCCAATGAACATAATACAACAGGTTTCAGTATGGAAAATGGGAGGATTAGACCCCGGCAGATGCTGTCTGGTGATGAACTTATGATGTCTGGGGAAGGGGAAGGTACGAGCTTTGCAGGTGATGACATTAAGGAGATTGAAGCTGGAGGTGTGAGATACAGGAGAGGAACAAGTGATGACTTCATGATATATGGACAGGAAAAGTCAATGGACAGAGGGAGTTCTTTGGACCCTCTTGCAGAAGCACAGTACAAGAGCCCCACCCTGATTGAAAAAAATGTGCACAGCTTGGCAGATGAGTCCTTTATGATACCTCTTAGGTCTACCTCAGAGGATAATCATGAACCAGAATGTCGTACTGCCATTGACATTGATGTTGAGCTTCCCTCAACTGTTCAGAAGATATCAGATGCTAAAGCTGGTAGTCAGCTTTTCTATGAGCCAGTTGAATTGATGCCAGAGCGAGGATGTGAAGACGTTTCATTTGGATATGATCCAGCAATGGATTATAACATTCAGATGCAGAGTCAACCTGCCACCATGGTTGAAGATGCACATGTGGAAGATGCATCATTGAGCGCTGTGGATGAAGTAAAGAAGCCAGAGAAAGACAAGAAGCTAAGAAGTTCACAGGAGAGTTTGGATAAACGTAGAAAAGATGCTTCAGTGAGGAGGTTGTCATCATCAAAAGGCCCGCTGACTGATGCACAGAAACGTGCACAAAACTTGCGAGCATATAAAGCGGATCTTCAGAAAGCAAAGAAAGAGCAGGTATTGGTGTATTACTTTTTTTATACCTATTAACTCTTTTTGCTTGAATTATATTGATGCTCCTTGCCACCCAGCATTTGTTGTTTTAATCTAGTTAATGTTGTACACAAGTTAAAATTTTCAGGTATGATGTTCTCGTATTAGCTTGTCTAGAATCTTGTAGTTTTGATGTGGAATACCAATATTACTTTAAAAGTAACCTTAATGTTTAAATACTGTCTCCTATCTGCCTTATTGGAACACAGACCAAGTTGATTATGTAGCAGGCTATCCAGCATCATTTGGCGCAGATGAGCGTATAGCTCAATGGTGGAGCACCTAGCAGAGGTGGCACCCATCCAGAGCTTGAATCCTGGGTGCTGCACTGGTGAGGTTCCTGCCCCAGCCAGGGCTTCGGTGGGCCCCTTCTTAAAGCTAAGCAGAGGGGACTTCCTTTCTCCCTGATCAAGTATTTTTATCCACCATCATTTGTCAGATGGTTGTCTCTTCATGTGATGGCTCCACTAAATAGTGTTTGCCTAGGAAGACAGTTATAGCTGTCACTACCTAATAATTGCCTTAGAAGCAAGGTGTACAAAATTGCAAATATTTACACACTAAGACATGCGATCTAACATGAAGAATAACTCGAATTGGGGTAGTGATTCTTATTATCCTGCCTGTTCTTATAATGGAGGTTTATTTATTGATAGAATTAGCCTAACCTGACAACTTGTTGCAATATCTGTAATCTTTTCAACATTGAGTTGGTGATTTTCCCATTTTTAGGAAGAGGAACAGATCAAACGGCTAGAAAGGCTTAAGCTAGAGAGGCAAAAGAGGATTGCTGCAAGAAGCAGCACTTCCAATGCACCAACACCACAGCAGCCCAGAGTCAAGCCTTCTCCCAAGGTTTCCCCCAGTACCTACAAGAGCTCAAAGTTCAGTGATGCTGAACCTGCATCCTCTTCACCTCTCAGAAAACTTCCTGTCAAAACTACCCCAGGGACGGATCCTCAAAAAACAGCAAAATCAAGCAAACTAAATGATAATACTAATGCAGTTAGTAAGTCAACCTCATCATTGACAGACATGAAGGAGAAAAGTGGGAGGACCGAATCATCCAACGAGAGATTGAGAAAACTTGCTGAACCTAAAACCAACAGTTCAACTGGCCATCCTTTGAATTCCAAGTCAGCAGCGGATCGCCCACGGAGAAAAAGCATGCCACAAGATACCCAGACAAAGAAAATTTCAGCTATAATGCAGCTTGACCAGAGTAAATCAGCAACACTACCAGAACTGAAGGTCAAATACCCGCAAGCTCCTGCTGTTGCGAAAAATGCAGTAGCTAGTAGAGAAAAAAAAGAGGTTTCACCTGGAGCTAAAGCTCTTCCTACAACAGAAACTGCTGGTGTAAAGGAAACTAACGGTAACATCTCGAGGATGAACAGCAGTGATGATAATCTGGTGGTTGAGAAGACTGTTGTGATGCTTGAAAATGAGGTGGTTTCAACACCTCCGGTCATTCTACATTCTGGAAGAAATGCAGCAAAGGAAACTTCTGGTGATGACAGGACAGAGAAGCCCAGTCCGGAATTGGAGTACATTGCTATCAGGGCTCCACTGTCTCCAGTTATTCTTCCGGAGGCTGAGACTCCTGTCACCAATGGATCTGATGACCAGGGGAGCTCATATGAGGTATGGTCTTTATGCTGTTCTTTTTGGTTCTCATTCACACCTTTCATGATCCCTGTTTCATTGTTTCTGTGCATTGTATTCCTGATTTGGTATGTATGCAGTCATCAACTAAAAGGCCAAACATTGCTCTGTACTATTAAATTGAATGTGTCTTGTTGTGATGTAATATGATTTAATGGATCCGGTAAGCTAGAGTAATAAAAGAATGCCCATTGTGACTAGGTGGTGACTGAGTGTCTAAAGGATGAACCTGAGAGACCAACCTTGGCCGCCATGGAGAAACCTTACCAGGCCCCCTTTGCTAGGGTCACATCGCTGGAGAATGCATCAGACAGCAGTCCATTACCTGTGCGAGAACCTGAATCCCTTGTGCATGCAGATAGCATCAAGGCTCGAGTGCCTGAGCCTGTGTACACAGTTTCAGTTCAGGGCCATGAGGTAAGTGAAAAGACTCGAAGCAAAGAGCCAAAAGGCTTCAGGAAACTTTTGAAATTTGGCAGGAAAAGCCATGCTTCAGCCTTGATTGAGGGTGCAATGGATTCCGACACGTCATCAGTTGACGAAGCCTCAGCAGGAGATGGTATGGTAGTCTGTCTCAATAGTTTGTTAACTTATTAAATAAAGTTGTTCGCATAAGGCCAGGCCATTATATCAAAAGGGGATTCTGCTAGCATTATTTTAAGAAGAGGGAGCAATAGAAATAGAAAAAGAAGACATGAAAACATGTTTCTGCGCTTAAATATGTCCATGCTGATGTCAAGAATGCTCAACACATTTATGTGCTTAATATTTCAGGTTCGATGTTGAAGAATCTCATTTCTCAAGATGACTCTGGTGCTTCTTCAAAAGGTTATTGATTACCACAAGCACAACTTGTCTCTTGAATTGAATCTAGTATGACTTGGATGAAGGGCAGGCCTGGTGCAGTGGTGAGAGCTGTCTCACTGAGTCACCAGGTCGTGGGTTCGAAGCAGCCTCTCCGCAGATTTTGCGGGGGGAAGGCTTGCCTCGGTTTTACCCTTCCCCAGACCCCACGCTGGGTCTGCCCCCTTTTTTATATGCATGGCTTAGCAGTAAAATATTCTGTGAAACAAAAACAATGCTTCTTGGTCCCATTGCTGCACCAGAACTAAATGAACACTGTGTGAATTTATTTTCGCACTTGGTGGTGGAATGTTCACTGTGCTTGTTTACTGTTTCAGCTTCTCGGTCGTTCTCCCTACTGTCACCGTTCCGCAGCAAGCACAAGGTGATTGTGCTGTGAGCATGGATCAGCGGCAATTGGGAGGAGAGGAATGGTGCAGCACAGCACAGTACATACTTTTGGTGATGTGTTTGGAAGAGCTTTTGGTTTTCCTAATAGTATATATACACACACACACGTATACATAAATACATACATGTTCTATGGTGGCCTTGTCAGTAGACAGCCCATGAAGGTTGTGTACCGATGGATGGTAGTTTGCGTTGCAATTGTACATTCCTTCTTTTGTTGTTTTATACCCAAACTATTTGTGTATGGTGATACTCGAGGAATATGATTCGGTCCATGTGGGTGTGATACTCTATTCTGTTCCAGATTTACTATGCAAATGTTTTGCACTCATCATAGGTAGATTCATAGAGGGAGGTCCTGTTTGGACGTTGTAGTATATTATTAAAAAAATAGTTCTAAGAAACTACATGATATGGGTAAGGGTGTCCCAATCTTTCGGTGGAGAGGAATAACTTTGAAGTGGTTAACGTGGTCATATCTGAGCCGGTGATGTCCTCGTCGCTGCAGTGGCACCATATATATAGATTTATATATACTACTGTCTACTGTGCTATAGCACCAACAATAGATTTACTGTGCAATAGTACTAACAATAGATTTACTGTGCAATACCATGGTTTAGAAAGAAAAAACCATGAAGTTTGTTGCGTCCAAACGCTTCATGCCTTCATGTCACTCTAAAACCAAAATATTTTATAAAACCATGGTGTTCTTTTTTTTATATATATAAAGGCAACATAGCCGGATGGATTCTGTCAGTCTCAATCTCAACTCTCAGGTCGTCCACTCATCTGTGTAAGTAAGGTAGGTAGTAGGCACACGATACGACAAGTATTCCTAGCATGTTCGATTTTCAGTCGTGAAGTATTGTCGTCGAGTACAAGCTCACAGTCACAGGCCACTGCTGTCAGCGTCGTCGCTGCGCTCAGCCGTTGCTGTCATCGTCCGTCGCGGTAGACATGCCATTTCAAGTATCTCTGGTGGCCTGGCAGGAGCGGCCGCAGCCGAGGGGCGACCTTGCAGTCGGAGGAGCAGCAGCCGCGCAGCTCCTCCGCACACCAACCGCAGCACCTGCGGCATTGTAAATCGTTGGGCGTTGGTCAGTCAGCTCAGCTGGGAATCACTGATCGATGGAGATGGTGACGGAGACGACTGACGAAGAACGCACAGATATAGGCGGTTGCAGTCGATGTTGGCGCAGTTGCGGTGCCGCAGCTCCACCACCTCAGATCTGCACGCGTAGCAGCATCCCACCCACCTCCCATTCTCTTCTTTCTCTTCTTCCTCCGACGGCAAAGACTGCCTGAATGTCGCTGGTGGCAGCGAGAGCCGGCCATCGAAGACGAAGAGATTCCCCACCCACCCCGCTGGCCCCTCCGCCTTGAGATAGTTCGACACTCCTCCCTCCAGTGTATACAGATTCCGAAACCCCTTCTTCCTGCAATAACAATGCATTATGGCTTGCTGCAATTAATGTCCTTGTTCATCCTTATATAATATAGCCGAGAGGTAGTATATATATATAATTACCTAAGAATTGTTGAATATACGTCACACCTTATCCCCCCGGTGCAGTACATTAGTATGTCTGTCCTCTCTCTGTCTATGCCATTTAGAGGATCCGAAGGGTCCTCCATCTATAAATAACCAATTACATATTATGTTTAGTTAACAGTTGCAAATATTAAACAAGAATCGCCCACCATGACAGCAATGTTATGTATTACCTCTCCCGAGAGCCCAAAGGAAGTGCTTCTGAAGCAGTCCACATTAGGCCGCTGGGCACCTTCAAAATGCCCAATATCCCATTCATAGTCTGATCCAAGAGAAAGGAAGGGAACAAATTAAATACATCATCACACTGTAATAAGCAACCATATAGAATACACGAATGATGATGGGCTTTGCTTAGCACTTGTCCTAGCCTTTTTACACTGTAATAAGCACAGGCACAGCTGGAAGCCTAGAAGACACTGATTTGATTTGTCATTCAAAGAGGGAGGGAACAAAGTGCTCCGATTCAGCCAGAACACAATGTGCCTATATAAAAGTACTTTACCATTCCTCACATCCAGCAGCAAAAGCCTCCTTCCAGATGTTTCACTTGAGGACACATCAAGGCATGTCCTAGCTTCAAGGCTTTCCTTCCACTCTGATGGAGTCAATGGCGTCGCACGCATGTTAGGGTCCAGCAACGGAAGATGCAAACTACCTCCTTCTAACTGGAAATTTCATACGAAAATAAAATGTCTTAAGACTTCACTGAAAGTTGGATTAAAAAACAAATAAAAAATATGAATAGTGATACTTCCAAAATAAATGCCAACCCCACACACACACACAACTTCATCAAATGCTTCTCTCTCTCTCTCATGACATGGCATGAGAACTGCCACTTCATACTAATATAAAGTAGCACAAGAAAAAACGATACAACACCAGATCTAAACGGAGACTTGAAGAGGAACACGCAATGCTACCAGTTGTGTATCGTTGTATTATTAGGTAGAGAAAAGGGTTCGCTACAACACTGACCGCCAAAAGCATCCACACTGGTCGTGTTTGCCATATTAGTGATATTATATACACTAAGCTTGGGGATTGAACCTTGAAATTGAAAGCGCATACATCTTCTCAAGCTTTATTATCTCTGGACCCTTTAGGCTAGGAATTTTTGCTCAGCAGTGCCAGTAGAGCCAATCTGACGCTACTGAACCTTGTATTTCATGTGCAACAAAAAACAGGGATAGCTTACCTGAACAAGTGATGGTTTGTACCGTAGTTTCAGCCGAGGGAAGGCATGCCCAGTTACAGCTGGTGAGGTTTGAACAATCGTATCAGAAAACCGATGGTGTTTCTTAACCCAGTCTGCATATGCCACTGCATCTTTGTGAGGTCCACTGTACTGCGGCAATAGCAAAATTTAGTAGAATATAAAAATAACATCACAGGTGCAGCAGCATTTTTGGATCATGTAAAAGAATAAAGATAGGGCCTAGCACATTCACGTGCATTAATCGAACCACTTAATGCTACACTACATTAATTTAATATTGTGATGACAAGCCAACAATTGCTTTTGACTAGAGTTGTTTTCAATTCGAAAGAAAAATAGACACGATGCGAGAGCATTTGCTTTGAACCAACATAGGTTAACCACAGTCATTGGCAATAATGCGACTGTAAGTGCTATTCTGGGGATGGAGCAGAAGCTTGTTGTGTTACCTGAGCATTGATTCCCTGCTCATTCAAGTAAATGCGACCATGTATGTCGCGTCCCTGATATATAGGATATAGTACATAAAAAGAAGAAGAAATTTAGGCCAAAGCATGTGGTAAATTGGGTGGAGAAGGAGAAGAGACACGGTAGTACGAGACGGAGGCGACCAGGAAGGAAGAAGAACCTGGAGGAAGTTGAGGTGTCTGACGACCTCGGCGTGGGGGTCCTCGAGGGATACGAATTTGTAGAAGGTCACCACGACGAACCGGGCGTCCTCCTCCTCCTCCTCCTCCTCCTCTGGGGGCACGAACTCTGGCTCTGCAAGCGCAACGGCATGCGTGCCGAGGCGGCAACCGGGAGCCGGGAAGAAGGAACGGAGGCCGGCTGGGCGCGGCGAGAAGGAGAGGCGGGGGTGGCGAGACGGAGTGGGAAGAGGGCGGAGGAGGAGCGCAAGGAGGCGGTGGCAGTTGTGGTGGACGGCGGACGCCATGGCTTCCACGCACGCGGCACGCTATCCTCTCCTCTGAATGACGATTTCCGGTATCATCCCTTTTTTCCCGTGTCACTGTCACAACTCACAACAAGTCCTTCCTTTTTTTTCCTGTCTGTTCTGCATTTCTTCCTCCTGATTGTATAACAGGTTTTATTAGTCTTAAAAATAAAACTCTGGTCCGTACAGTACTAAATAAATTATAGGTTTCGCTAAAATTTAGATGTCTGGATTTCCCGATGACGATTATTGTATATATTTTGTACTAAAATTGTAGATTTCGTTTATTATAATTTCTGTAAACGTAATTTGTAATTTTCGGAACCGAGAATAAAAAACTCGTTACATAAAATTACAAACCCGATAAAATCTGATTTGTGTTGGCACAAAACAATTAATAATTAACAATTATTTTCTATAGAAAAATAAAGATAAAGCTTAATATGTTACGATATAAAGATAAATAATAAATAAAAAAATAATAATTTAGTTGTACTAGTTAGAGGTATAACAATGTTATCTGAAATTATCTTAAAATCTAAAATATAGAAGAAGTGATAAATTATAGGTGAGCGGAGGGTTAAAGAAAAACTCTAAACTAAGGGATTGTTTGGTTTCCCCGTTAAAGTTTAGCTACTACATTGCTAAATAAACTAACTAAAAATGAACTAAATTAGTTTAGTTATATTATTACCTTGAGAGGTACTAAAGTGGGATAAAGTGCCCAGTGGACAGGGGCTGTTCTTCATTATTGCTGGCTCCTCATTCTGATTTGTGCATTTATTAAGAATAGTTTGGTGGCCTTCCACCCTGTATACATTAGGAATATTTTGATGTTTATTTAACTGCTTTAGTGATTTTTAGTCACTTTTAATTATTAAAATAAAATAGGGGTGACTAAAATTTAGCGGTAGATAGGGCCTAAGAACAACTCCAGTGGAGTCCCTAAACAAGCCCCTATTCTATTTTTAGGAGCTCAAGCAAAAAAAAACTACTTCAATGGGCCTCATATTTGGACTCCCATTTTAGGAGACCTTCCAAAATTTAGTTGGAGGCCCCCAAGAACCAGGGGCTCCTATTCCCCACGCCCGACACCCCGACTGCCACGCCGCCGCCGCCACCCCGCCGCCGCCGTCCGCGGGATCCGGCGAGGTCCGGTCCGACGAGCCACCTGGACTCCATCGCGGCCGCGGAGCTCGTGGATCCGCCCTCCTTCGCGTCCTCGCCTGCCTCCGTGTCGTCCCGCCGGTTCCCGCCGCCCCTCTTCTTCCTCCTCGTCCCGCCGGTTCTCGCCGGTCCGGCGACCTCGCCTGCGTCCGCGTCCTCGTCCTTGTTCCTCCTCTCCATCCCCGCCTCTCCATCCTCGTCCTTGTTCCTCCTCTCCATCCCCGCTTGCGTTCCCGGCCTCCATCCCCGCGCTCGCCCCTCTTCTTCCTCCTCTCCACGCCCACCACGCCGACGACCAGCAGCAGCGCAACCAGCAAGACGCCCACCACGCTGCCGGTTCCTCTCCCATGGACGGCGACGCGTCCCGTGGCTTCTCCGGAGGCGGGCTGCCTCCCCGTCCGACGATGGCTCCCACGCGACGTCGCCCATTCGTCGCGCCGCATCCCCGTCCGACGCCGCAGATTCGTCCCTAAGAACGTCCTTCTCCCGGCGTGGCGGCAAGCAGTAAGCTTACCTCCTCGGCTCCCCAACGAGCAGCCTCGACTCGGTCCTCACGCGTTGACCTTCACGGAGCCTCACACCGCCACACAGGACGCGGCAAGAAGACCACAACATCACCAAAGACACGTCTATGAGGTTGTTGGCGACTTCACCCCAACCATTGGGCGCTGATGACTACTCGGTGAGTTGTGCTAATGTTAAGAGCTCATTGGTAAACATTTTAGATAAGCTATGTGCATGTGCTATGGCAATAACAATCATATGTTCTCTGATCTTTTTTGTATGTGCTATTACTTTCTATAAGATTGTGTTACTAACTGTAACATTATACAAGTACAATACAAAAGAAATCTAGTATAGACATTGCAGAAGATACTTGGCCTTTCTTGTTGGTCACTCACCTATTTTTGCTTGTTCCACATTGAGCTCGATCATGTGCCTGTTCGAGATCAAAGTGACCATTATTTTGCTTTTTGTTTTGGTTACGAGTGTGTTATACTTGAGCTTCAAGGGCCGAGGCGTGCTCACTTGTCCGCAATTTGGGCCACGGCGAGAACATATATAGTACAATTGTAGCATGTTTGTTAATCGCACGGTGTTTAGTCGTTTCTAGCCGTAATGCCATGTGACTGTTGTTATATCATCAAACATGGCAAGTGCAAATTGCAATGCAAACACAAGCCGGTCCGTATCATCAATTTTGTCAACTCTGGTAGAGTACCTTTTGGTTTTGGTTATATCATCAAATGAAATGAGCAAAAATTTAAGTCTAGGAAGCCTGCATCTGGTTTCAGACGTATATATGTATCGGATCAAAAAAGAGGGGCAAAATATCCTCAAGTTCTGAATATGACACAGCATGCCTCCAAAACTCAAGATTGCCAGCCGGCCGGCAGGCAGGCAGTCTATTCATAGGGAGGACACGCCACGGTTAGATTTGTTCTTCTTTTGGACAGACAGATGGGTATGGGCTGGACTGAATGAAGAGGCGTTGACTGTGACCCAAAGAAAATTAGCATTTGCATTAGTTGTGATAAACAACACCGAATGTAGGCAAGAGCTGGTCAACCTATGGAGGTGTATCCATCCATCCAGCTGGTGCAAGTCTGAAACAGATAACAACAGAGAGAGAGAGTGGGAGACCATATGAAATATCCCTGCAGAAGAAACATTTTTTGTTGATTGAATCCAGCAATAGCCAGCTAAGAAGGATTTATGTTGAATGAATCCAGCAATAGCCAGCTTAGAAAGGTTTTTGTCGAATGAATCATCCATCATGCCAGCAATTTTGCTGCTAGTACACTTGCAATTTGAATACAAACTGAACTGACATGTTGCAATTTGCACTTGCATTACATTGCATGGGACTGAACTGACAATCTGGAGTTTATGTTTTTTGCAGGAACCAAGGGCTTCAAGTGCAGCAGGAAGAGGAAAATGATATTTCACAACCATATTGACACAGGAAGCGGATGATGATTTGGAAGTGCTGAGGCAGCAGGATGCCACTCCAAGTACTGGAGGCAAAGGATCATCCAAGCTAGGCAACAACTACACTAATCTTGAGGATATCCAACTTTGCAAATCTTGGATTCATATCAGCAATGACCCTATCATAGAGAATAACCAGCCAGGGAAAACTTATTGGGAGAGGATCGGAAATGATTTCCACAGCAACAGGGACTTTGAGTCCGATAGGACTCCCAATTCACTCGAGCATCGCTTTGGGATCATACTAAAGGAGTGCATGAAATTTCAAGGCTACTACGAGGAGGTCGAGCGTCGTCATCCAAGCGGCATTCCATAAAAAGAGCATGTAATTGGTTCATCCCATACCTTGTCATTGCTATATATCTTGACATTGCTATATATCTAATCATGCACTTGATCTTTGATGCAGCTGCTTGAAGCCCAAGCAAGGTATGCCAGAAAAGCGAAGGGCAAAAATTGTCAATTCGAACATTGCTGGCTCACGTTGAGGCATACTCAGAAGTTCGAATCGACACTTGAAGGCAACAAGAGGCCAGCCAAGTCCAGAGAGCTCAACCTCCTAGTAGGAAGTGAACAAGACGATGAGTCAACCGCCCAAGGCCAAGAGAGCTCCTCAGTCCCTTCTGCCAAGAAAGCCCGACCTCCGGGTAGAAAGCAATCCAAAGAGAAGCTGAAAAAGAATGAAGGAGATGACGAGTACAAGGATATGATGCAAAACTTGATGGTAATGAAGACCGAGGAACATAAGATGAAGAAAGAAAGGTGGGAGAAGGATATGATGCTTGAGCAGCGTAGGATTGAGATGGAGGAGCAAGCAGGCTGCAGTGGGAGCGAGGAATGTAAAATTATGTTTTGTGATGTGACCACCATGGACGATGATCAAAGGGCATATGTGTTGGCCAAGAGAGCGAAGATTGCGAAGGCGATGAGTGCTAGTGTAAGCGAGACTGCTAGTGGTGAGAGTGGAGTGTAGGTTTGGTGAGAGTGGAGTGCTAGTGGTCATTTCTTAAGTTTATGTGAACTTATGTCTGTATTATGTGAATTTATGTCTGTCTCTGTATCTGGATGCTAGCTGAATGTGAACAGCTATCTGGATGCTAGCTGAATGTGAACAACTATCTGGACTGCATGTGACTACTGTTTTATTTTAAGCCACATCTATTTCATGTTTTTGTGCTATCTGTCTTCAGTTCTTGAATGTAGTCCAGAAGAAGCAAAGATCATCCGAAAGGTGGCGGAGTTTGGCATATCACGAAATTTGAACAATATATCGAATCTCTGTCTTGCTTCTTGAACAAGATCGAGTTCTAATGCATCTTGTAGTCTAGAAAGGTGAAAACTGGAGTTTGGCATATCCTGAAATGTGAACAGCTATCTGACTGCTGTCTTCAGTTCTTGAAATTGTTTCTGGGGGTATGGGTGTGCAATTGTTTCTGATTTCTGAGGCACAAAATCAGTGTGGGAAATGAGTGTTTTTCTACTATGGATACTCTTCTGGTACAGAGCATGGAATAGAGACTAGCCTATTCTTTCTGCAGAAAGATGGCAATGCACTAGAGAATAATTTTTACTTTAGGTGTCATGCTACAACTTTCAGAGAGTACAGACATAGTGGTAATTGCAGTTAACTGCTTGTAATTGTTTACCACTCTTTTCAAGCCTACAGTTGAAATTATTAGGAATAGACTTGTGCAGCATACACAAGACTTCAGATAGGCACCATATGTTGATTCACAGAAGAAAGAACATTGGGACAATCATCACAGATTTTGCACACAATGGTTTCGCCCAGACCCATTATGTTGCAAGCAACTTGATCAGCATGAGCTTTACTGTAGTAG